GCTCTCATCCTCTCCTATTTATACAGTGAAGCCCATGGCAAATAGGAAGAAGCTCAAAATCGGCTTCTCCCTCCTTAGCCCCCACTTCCTCCAGGACCATAGTTTCCTCCACCATATGGTCCCCCCATGTTCCTGCTACCACCAAAATTTCCACTCTTCATTGGACCATAGTTAGATGGTTGCTGGTTATAATTTCCAAAATCATTGTAATTTCCACTTCTGTAATTTCCTCCTCCATAGTTGTCATAACCACCTCCATAACCCCCACCCTGGTTGCCATATCCAGTTCCTTCACCACCATATCCCCCTCTTCCTCCTCCATAACCAGGGCTACCTCCAAAATTGCCACCTCCAGGTCCTCCATACCCATTATGGCCATCCCCAAATCCACTACCACTTCCATAGCCATCAGATCCTCCTCTAAAGTTACTTCCTGGTCCTGGTCCCAAATTTCCACCACCACCTCAAGAGTCTCCAAAACCAAGTGGAAGAGTTCCTCTTCCACTTCTAGAACTTTGAACTTCCTGCATTTCTTGTCTAGACAAAGCCTTTCTTACTTCTGCATTATGACCATTGATGGTATGGTATTTCTGCAACACAATCTATTCCACGGGATCATGGTCATCAAAAGTAACAAATCCAAAGCCTCTCTTCTTTCCAGACTGCCTAGCAGTAATTATCTCAAAGGGATCAATTTTTCCATATTCTTCAAAGTAATCTCTAAGATGATGTTCCTCAGTATCTTCTTTAATCCCACAAACAAGCAGCTTCTTCACAGTTACATGAGCCCCTGGCTTTCCCGGTTCCTCTCTTGCAACAGCACGTTTTGGCTCAACCACTCTTTCATCAATTGAATGAGGTCTTGCGGCACCCTTTCACAGGGGTCGCCTAAGACCATCGGAAAACACATATAATTACATAGTGTTTTTGTGATTAATCACTATGCTTTAATTATGTTCAATTTGTGACAATGAAAATACATCCTGCATATCAGATATTTACATTATGATTCATAACTAGCAAAATTACAGTTATGAAGTAGCAACGAAAATAATTTTATGGTTGGGGGTCACCACACCATGAGGAGCTGTATTAAAGGGCCGCGGCATCAGGGAGGCTGAGAACCACTGATCTAGAGAGAAGCTGACAGCAACATATCAGTGTTGGTTTCTTTGTTGTGGCAGACACACCGTGATCATATAAAATATTAACAACTGGGGAGACTGGGTGAAGGATATACAAGATCAGCCATGGATGAAAACGTTACAAAACCAAATCCTCTTGATCTTTTGCTTGCAGGATCTCTCGTTACCACACAGTCTGTAAGTTTTCCCCATTGCTCATAGTAGCTCCTCAAACTTTCTTCTGTGGTTTCAAAGCTCAAGCCACCAATAAAGGGTTTACGGAACTGTTCCTTTTCTCTCTCCATCGCGGACTCAGTCGCCTCAGCCCGATTTCCCGCCGAGATGAGAGAGATCTCCGAGGTCGCACGCGAACCGGACTCGTCCTCGCGCTTTAGTGAGAGCCGCCTCCGCTGGAGAAATAACAAGGCTAGAGGCACGGCCGCACGCTGAGCCGGCGCCGCTGCTAATGCTGCTCCAGCCGCAGCCGCTGCTTTTCTAGAACCTTCCCTCCCACCAGCGCGTCCCTACAGTCAGGGCGCTGCGTGAACGCCCTAACTGCCTCCAATGGCGGGAACCCTCCACGCCCTCCTTACCCCCGAAGGTGTACTCTGCCCTCCTCCCCTCCCTGGGGAGCGCGGGGCGTCAGTGGTGTAAGTAGGCTCCATGAATTAAGGAAGGCTGGGGTGGCGCAGTTCCCTCGCTGGGACCCGGTTCCAACCCCGCCTGAGCGCAGGGCAGGTGAGAAACGGTCGCGCCCTTGGAGACTAAAGCTGTTGGGTGAAGCTGGATCCACAGCCTAGAGGCCCCCCTCCCTCAGCACAGCCTTGGACAGTGCTCCCTCCTGTCCTGCTGCCCCCCGGGAAATCTCGAAATTCAACATTTTTAAGTGTAAAAATACCTATGCTGTTTAACACCTTCAGCAAATTTGACATATGAAGTTTTGAAGCTTGTCAATACCACAAAATAGCATACATATCAAATCACATATATATCAACATAGGTGCAACTTCATCTATTGAAAAAAATCTGCATTATTAACTGGTACACCTAGTAAAGGAATGGACTTTACCTGCTCACTCCTCACTCTACACCTGCAACCAGTCCAGGGACCAACAGGTAACAAACACCCAATTGCTTTTGATGAATTAGGAAGAAATAAATGGTGAACGAATGAGTGAATGATTCCAAATCTCTTCAGAGACTGGAACCCGGCTGCCAAATCCTTGGAATTCTGGTCACATGGGACAGGTTCCCTGTCCATCCAGGAGTTGAGACCTGTGTCTCAGGCCCTTTGCTGCTCTCTAGAGAAATAGTCCTTCCTGCCCTGGCTGGTTTTTAACTCAGTGGACAGAGCATTGGCTTGTGGTTTTGCTCAAGCCAATGGACAGGGCATGTACCTTGGTTGCAGGCCCGATCCCTGGCCCCAGTTGGGGCGCGTGCAGGAGGTAACCAATCGATCTGTCTCTCTCGCATTGATGTTTCTCTCTCTGTGTCTCTCTCTCTCCTTTCTACTCTCTCTAAAAACCAAAGGAAAAATATCCTCCAATGAGAATTAACAACAACAAAAAAGCTTGGTACTCCTGCATGCTTGTGGTTTTAATCTCTATGCAAAATGGTCTTGGGTTCGATTCCTAGTCAAGGGCAGGGACCTGGGTTGTAGGTTCGATCCCCAACCCTGATTGGGGCATGAGCAGAAGACAACTAATTGATGTGTCTCTCTCGCATTGATGTTTCTCTCTCTCTGTCTCTCTCTCTCTCTTCTACTCGCTCTAAAAATCAATGGGAAAAATATCCTCGGGTGAGGATTAACAACAACAAAATGAAGGGAGGGAGAGAGAGAGAGAGAGAGAGAGAGAGAGAGAGAGAGAGAGGAGAGAGTAGTCTTTCCTGCTATTGGTCTTAGGCTCTTATGTATTAGTAATACTTTTCACATATGAAATATTTTAAATTCCTTTCAAGTTTCTCTTATAACCACCAAACACAAATGGTCCATAAGGGCCAGAATGTCAGTAAGTCCATGCTCCCTTCTTGCTGTCCATCACCCCTTCTGCATCTGCATCTGCATCTACACAAGTCCTCCCCTGCCCTCAGAGCACGTGATTCTGCTGCCACAGTCAGCTCTTGTCTGTCCCTTCACTCTTTTCTAGCTCATTCACTGGACTCTGCTCTGTCAATTGGTCTTAGGCTCCTATGTATTAATAATACTTAGGCCCAAGTATTATTAAATTCCTTTCAAGTTTCTCTTATAACCGCCAAACACAAATGGTCCACAAGGGCCAGAATGTCAGTAAGTCCATGCTCCCCTCTTGCTGTCCATCACCCCTTCTGCATCTGCATCTGCACAGGTCCTCCCCTGCCCTCAGCAGAGGGAGAATGACTTTAATGACCAAGGGCAGAGCACGTGATTCTGCTGCCACAGTCAGCTCTTGTCTGCCCCTTCAATCTTTTCTAGCTCATTCACTGGACTCTGCTCTGTCATTTATTGGCTCACTGGCTGGTGTCAGTCACACTCACCTGGGAAGGCCTGACCCAGCTCTTGGCCTCGGGGCCTGAGTAGTCAACTGACCACCAGCTTGCTCTTGTTTTCCATGTGTTATTTCTGCTCCAACCCCAGTCTCTAGGATGCCCTGGGAAATTGTGCCTCATAGAAACACACTTCAGCTGGGTGATGGAGGTCTGAGCAGCTAGAAGAAATGGCCCCTGGTCAGCCAGGCAGTCAGCTGGTCAGTGAAGAACTAGGAGAAGTGCAGGGTGGTCTCTAGCTCCCCATCCTGTGTCTTTCCATGATCAACGATAGTTCATTGACACCTGAGAAAGTCTGTACTTTTCCTCAGATATAGAGTTGGAGGCCTTACATTCTCTGAGCACTCAGATCCCATGTGTTTATCTTGTGACACACCGGCCTGCTTTGCTCTCCACCGCCCCTCCCCACTGCTTTACTCTTATGAGGACTTAAGCAGCTGAGCGTGGAGAGGTCCAACTCTGATGCCTTTGGAGGAAACAAAGGTACCACACAGAGCAGTGATCTCTTTGTTACCTGAACAGCAGAGTTACCCACACCCAACATCACTACCAACAACTTCAACCCCAAGAGTTTTGACTTGTGTTTTCCTAGTGATAGTGAGGTTGAGTGTCTTTTCCTGGGCTTATTGGCCAGTTGTGTATCTTCTCTAGAGAAATGTCTATTCAAGTGTTTTGCCCTGGGTTTCATTTTTCAACCCTGGTTATTTGGTTTGGTTGTTGTTGAGTTGTAGGAGATCTTTTTTTTTTTTTTATAGGAGATCTTTATATATTCTGGACATTAACCCCTCATCCTATACAGATAGTATCCTGTGTCCTGCAAGGTGACTTTCTGGGTAAATACTCAAAATAATTGAAAGCGGGGATTTGAACAGATATTTGTACACCTTGTTTATAGTAGCATTATTCATAACAGATAATAGGTAGGAACAACCCAGAATTCACGGACAGATGAATGATAAATTAAATGTGATGGATTCATGCAATGGAATATCATTCAGCCTTAAAAGGGAATGAAATTGTGATATATGCTACAACTTGGATGAAACTTGAAGACATTATGCTATGTAAAAAAAGTCAGACACGAAAGGACAAATATCCTATGATTCCTCTTATATGAAGAACCTAATGAAACTTGAAGACATTATGCTATGTGAAAAAAAGTCAGACATGAAAGGACAAATATCATATGATTCCTCTTATATGAAAAACCTAGAGTAGTCATATTCACAGGAACAGAAATAGAATGGTGGTTTCCAGGGGTTAGGGTTGGGGATTGGGAAGCTATTGTTTCATGGGTTTTAGTGTGGTAAGATGAAAAAGTTCCCAATGGATAGTGGTAATGATTGTACAACAATGTGAATGCACTTAATGCCACTGAGGTGTACACTTAAAAGTTAAAATGGTAAATTTTATATATATTTTTTACATAAAAAATGATCACAAAAACACACCCTTGTGCAAAGTCACAGTGCATGCCAGACCCAGGGTCGGAAACTGAGCTCTTAAACACTTTGCCATTCTGTTTACTGTAATGTCTCCTGATTGACATTCTGCCCCTGTGACTTCTGTCCATTTTTCACACCATTGGTAGAGCAATCCTCCCAGGGAGACGTAGGATGGGGCAAGGGGTCACTTACATTGTACGTCCAGCTCGAGAGGGTCACTTTTGCTGGAACTGATAGGGTTGAAGACCTCACACTGAAAACCCCCAGCGTCCTCCCTCCTGACGGGGTCTATGGTGAGGATGCTGTGGTTGATCAGTCCTTGGGTTACGTCAGACTTGACGAATGTCATTCGTGGTTACATCACCATCTCATAAAAATTTTTATGTATTTATTTATATATTTAAAAAGTTCCGTCATTTCAATGTATGTACATATATGCTTTATGTTTTTTATTTATTTAGCACAGGTAAAGATCAGGAATTGTTGTCTTTCTTTTAAATTTTTTTTTTTACT